AATTTCAGGTTGGTGAATTGCATTTGCAAGGCATTCTTTTAAGAACAATGTCAAAGAAACAATTCCTCAAAAGAGATCACCATTAAAATCAAAACACAATGAGAGGTATGCTGTAGAACCGTCAGTGTTTTTATTTTATAACATTCATATTACAAAAGTTACACACAATGAAGAGGTGAAGAGTATATTGTCAAAGCTTTCTATAAAGTAAATAGTCCATAGTAAATGTACTGTAACTCAAATACTTGTTGTGACAGTGCTTTTTAGTGAGACAGGCAGTTCAAGTCTAAAGTCAAGGGATGTTGTGGAAGAGAAATCTTAATCCCTATACCACAAATCAATGAGGACAAAAAATCAAACAGAATTCAATGTGGAAATCTATTATCTGTTATTCTTCCTTTACTAGCTATATCATATGTCCTTCTGAAAACAAGCCATATGAGCATAGGGATATGGAAGACATAACATACCCCATTCATATAAAATCAGAAGATATGTAGCAGTCTCCACATTGAGGATACTTGTTGAATTTGATTCAAGTATACAAGTAATTGATTTTCTATCTTCATTGTTAATAAATATTAACATACACTACAGAGAAGCCTTATGAGTACTAGGACTGCTTAAATAAAACATGGGTGTAAAAACAATGATGAACTCTTAAGAACTGATTCCTCTTTAACATTAGACAAAATAGTAAATTTAATTCGTACAGATATAAAGAGTCAACAGTATAATGATTATGGTAAAGATTTTACATATGCTTGCAGGCATGAAAGAAGTCAAACTGGAGAGAAGAAACCTTTCATATATACTGAATGTGGTAAAACCGGTGTATATGAGAGTCACCTTCAAAGGCATGGAAGTACACCTATGGGAAAGAAATGTTTTCAATGTAATCAGTGTGTTAAAGCCTTTGCATATCACAGTAATCTTCAAAGACATAAAAGAAACCATACTGGAGAGAAACCCTATGAATGTAATCAATGTGCTAAAGCCTTTGCGCAACACATTACTCCTCAAAAGCATAAAAGAACACATAATAGTGCAAAAAATTCTGAATGTAATCAGTGTGATAAAGCCTTTGCCAAACATAGTACTCTTCAAATACATAAAAGAACCCATATTGGAGGGAAACCCTATGAATGTATTTAATGTGGTAAAGCCTTTGGAAAACATT